TGCATTCTAAGGTGTCTGTCAGGTCTTGTCTGATGGAGTTGAGGCATGTGGTTTTTTTGTTCATCAATGATGTGTTGGTATTTTTCCAGGCAGTTGTGGGCATCAGAGATCATTAATCAAAGCTTTTTGTGCCCATTTTGGAAGGCCAGTTTCCATGCTTGAGGGTGGTTGATCGGTAGTGTATGATTTTTGGGGTTGTTTGTTTATATATATATACTGTATGCTTATTTGATTATTATGAGCCTCCTTGAATCACTGAGAGTTAAACAGCATACAAGTTTAATATATTGTATTAGTATTCATATACTACTCTGATTAGTATTAGAGTAGTATAGTGTATAATGTAGCATGATGATTTTCAATTATTTAAGACAATATAGTAAGAGTAATTTTATATATTCAATTATTTAATCAATGAAATAATGTTTAAATTTTAGAATAATTGTAGATTTTCTGTGTATTCATTGGTATTTAATTTTCCAGTCACTACGCACTTTTTAATTAAATCATTTGTTTGTCCCTTATGTTTTAAAATAAATAATGCAAAAAAATTTCAAACATTGATTAAAAAAAATATTTACAAAAAATCCAGATCTGCAATATTGAAGTTAGTTTTTAGAGTGTTCAAAATGAATAATATATTTCATTTTAATTATTAATATGTAGTTAATATTTATGGGGTTGTGTTTAAAACAGAGCAAAATTAGTTTGCAGCAATATTGTCAATCAGTCCAGGTTGACTTTATTTTCTGCTTTTCATTGTATTAACTGTATTATCCAGTTGCCAGTCAATTTGTTCTGCCTATTTTAATCACTTTTATAATACCTTGACATTTTCTTTTAGGGAAGAGCATGCAAAATGATGTATTGGTCTGGAAGGAAGAGTGGTATCGCTTTTACCTTCATCATCCTCATCATTTCTGCTAAATCTCAGGTTTATTGGGGTATAATCTCTCAACAGATTGTGTAATAAACCAATTTGTATCAGAAATGATTGGCTGAAGAATTCACATATTATCCATGTTCTTACATGGAAGAGTCTGAAGGGACTGGGTGAAAACTAGGAGAAAATGTAGGCAGAGCTTGAGTTGTATTGTTTCTTAGCATTCAGACTTTGAAGAAGTAGTCAAGTCAAGTCAAATCAAAATCCTTTATTATGATAAATGACCAGATGTAGGAAGAAGTTATCATCCTGTAAGGCCAAATACTATTTGTTCTCCATGAGGTTACTTCACAAAGACCATAGGTACGTAAAGCAAGAGTGTGCTTTATGAATTAAATCTCTCTTGTGGGTACCAGACCCCTTCAAGTTCACATTGCTTGAATTTGGCAGAAAGCAATTGAACAATGGTGATACTGATTTCCATGTATATTTTTTATTCCATTTCAAAATCAACTTCTTGTGCAAATTGCAATCTTTAACAATATAAACACAATATATTTCATAAAATCTCAATGGCATCAGCACTGTAGAAATTTCCTTTTTAGTACCATACTGTAAAAAGAAAAATATTCATCAGGGTCCAGTCCAAGCTGGGAATAAACAACATGGCGACTGCTTTAGAAAGAAGGTTGTAGTTTATTGAAGAGGAGACCCAGACAGAAAGATGGCTCTGGAAAAAACTGACCACATGTAGTAGGGAGTGGTGGATTTTTATACCTTCTTGGGTTTTTGTTTGGAGTTGTTCCTGTGGCATGAACTTTGACCTGAGTCTGAGTGTGCCTTTCTGGTATTCTGATGGTGGTGGGTTAATCCTATTATGTCCCAAAGGTCATATCCTGCTTCCCTGGGCTGTGGCTAATGACTGTTTGATTATTTGGTGTGTGGGATTGTTGATTCTAGGGATCTTTCTTTCAAATCCAAGCTTCCTGGCTCCAATCTTTTTGACAAGATTATCACATCTGCATTTCTGCAGACCTGGTTTCTGTTTGGGGCAGAGAGACTTGGGGGGGGGGGTTCTGCCTTTTTAAAGATCTTCTCCATTATTCCTTTGAGGAAATATATTTTGCCTTTTTAATATTTCCCAAAATATTTCTTTCTCTGGATTCTTCCCACAATACCATTATCAATATTTCTCTTTTTAACAGAGATGTTTGTGCTACAGGATTCAGGGACTAAAGATTTTTCTCTTACAGACATGGAAATTACATTTCATTTAACTACTTAATTATTAATTTGCATTTAAAAATAGAAACTTGCTCTGATGCTTATTTCATTTTTAACATTTAGTCTGAATGTTTAATAAAATCTTAGAAATTATGAATTCCAGTGGTTAGCAAACCCTCTTAATCTAATATCCATCTAAGGAGACACCAATCTCTCTAGGCCAGGCATATCAAACTGCCAGCCTGTGGGCTGGATGCATCATACCGAAACCGCGCCCACCCCATTCCCGGCAATGGGGAAAAAGTTGCGATACGTCGCATGATGTCACATGACATCGAGAGTTTGACATGCCTGCTCTAGGCCTAGGAGAACAGCCAGCTCTTTATAGCCCTT